CGGCGGTGTTGGCGACAGCGGTAGCAAAATCAATGCTTTGATTTAATAGAATTGCGTTTCGTTATCCTGTATTGCATAAAACTCTCATCGCGTTGATACAGATGCGTACGCGTGACAAAAATTTCCACGCCGCGAAAAATCGACGTATCATTCGCTATGCGTCGACGTGATAAAAATAATGAAGTTAAATGAAAATGTTTGTTAAAGGAGGAGTCAAGGAGAAGAGAAAGAAAATGTGCTATTATCACAGTCACTATACATGTTAAATATTTGCCAACTCTAAGATGAACTAAATGTATCTTAGAGTCGCTCCGACCCGTTTGATTCTAAATTGCTCTGTTTCGTTATTTTAGAATAGAATAATAATATATAATTAAACCTGTCAGCTATATAACATCTAAAAAATAAGCACGTATAATTTTATGGAAAGAGATATTAACGATCTCGAAATAAAAAAAAAAAAGAAATTATTTTGAGAGAAGAAAATCGTATTTGTCTTATATTCATTTCAGAGTTTTGTTCAGTTTTGTTCTTATGACTCATCTTATATAACATTCTGTATAATAAGTAATGGGTTGAATCTACAAGATTATATTTACACAAATATCAAATCAAGAAGAAAAGTTTAAAGATAAGAATAAGACGAGTAACAAATGATAAGATTTGCTTCAGTTTGTCTACATTCAAACTTCTATAAAGTCTTATAAAAATATTGATTCAAAAGAAGAAATTTTCTCGTTTCCTTTAATATATTCTAAATAAACATAAAATTAACTCAATTCTGCAGGATTGTTTAAATAACTTTATCGCAAACTATCTTCATATACACTTCAGACACTCCTAACGACGATCATTGCCGTTGTTCCGCTTCCTATGACCGTCGTGAGTAATGTCGTACCTCTTCGTTCATGCGTAAAGTTTCCGATCGTCGGACGAGAAGCGGTGTCAATCGTGCGAGAAACATCGATGCATTGTGTAACTGATCGTGATCCGCGCAAGTGCATTGTCATGTAAAAGTACCGTTGGTCCGACAGTTTTATTCTTTACAAACAACAACATAGCGTACGGATCCAGATCGCGTACGAAATACTTTCAAATATATAAAAAATCTTTTATATAAAATTTATGTGTAGTTAGAATGTTTGACATCCACTTATTTGCAGTGGCCAAAACAAATGGGGACGTTATTCTCGAAATAAATGTACAAGAGAGGAGAATAATATTTCCATTTGTTTGGCGTTGCACAAATAACTGGGTGTCAACGTTCCACTATCCATTTTCGATTTAATCACTTCATCGCGAAGTGTATGCCGCGAAATTTCATATCCCCAGACTCGAGCGCGGTGTGGAACGTCGCGAAAAATATGATTGTCCTCGGCGATGTCTTTACCAGCGGTAACCGCTTATCACGCACGAAGTCCGCGTGTAGCCGCGAGGACGAGTCTATCGGCGTTTAGCCGGCTTTCGTGAATGTAAACTAGGCGTTTCCTGCACGTATCGTACAAAGTGCTCGATTCGCTGGTCTTTTTTCACCCAGGCCGATCGATAATGCCATTGCAAACACCCTGTATGTGCTCGGTTAATGTTAATGGCAGGGGCCGGCTCGGTCGAACCGGGTGGGTTGCCCCTTTGCCCGTGAGTTAGAGCTTCCTGAGGCTTTCCTCGCATCCACCGCACTACCGCCGCCCCCACCCCGCTCAAGTCCCCGCTTGGCTAATGGTAAGGGCAGGAAATATCAAAAGTCGTCTCCGCGATCGTTTTTTTTATTGCATTATTTTTCCCTCTCTCTATCTTTCTCCTTCTAATGCGAACCTGCCTTTGTGCGTGATTTTCGAACGATACGAATTCCCTTTTGAAAGCAGAAAGCGAAAAACTGAGGCGATACTCACGCCATTGAATTATTCATCGTTAGCGGCCGAAAAGATTGGAGAAGAGAGATATGTAACATTTAATTTCCACTAAATTTAGAAAAGAAAAAAGCAGAGATGTGTGTCTGGTGAAATATATTAAGTTGAGAGTTAAACCACTAATGAGAATTATTAATTCTTTCCATGTAGAGCTATTTGTCAAAATGCAAAAACTGTCTAATATATTCAGAATGATCATTCATATTCTTCGCAGGTGATAGTAAAAAAAAAAAAACAACAGCCTCGTAGTGCCTTAAAATATCGCGACTTCTCCCGGGAAAAGTTGCAAGGGAGTTAACAGGCTTATCGTGCACAAAACGCGATCGTCGAAATGATAAAAAAAAAATGTATCTAACTCACAGGAGAGCAAATGTAATCACTGTTTGTCACGAACAGCGACGCATTCAACAGGTTAAAGCAACACATTAAAAAGAATGCGAATTTATTCGCATGCTTAAAAATCTCTTTCGTCTCGTGTCCGTGAATTCGGTCACGATATTTCACCGGGATGAACAGTACCAGAGATACCAGCGAATAAAATAGTAACACGTTAATCTTCTTCTCGCGCGTTCATGAAAATAACTTGCTAAAAACTCGCTACAGATTTACTACAACGGTTTTCTAACGTTACGCGAGCAATTTATGTTTCTTTTCGAAAGCGCCGTTTATTAAAAATTCCCAGAGACATTAATGATATTTGTTCAAATTACAAATCATACATAATATTTCAAGCCTTAATAATAAATGTCCGATTTGTATGTAATCGGAAAATCCCATATCGCTTCCAAATTCTACAAAAAAGTTGTGCGGAGAAAACAACGATGATGCGATAAATTTGAAACCGACAAGTTCACACGAAGAATGCACGAGTTACGGCAATTACTCAATAGCCGAGATCCTCGAAATAGTCTTAGCTCGAAATTGTCGTTCGCACCTTCGATGTAAAGGCCGTTTAATTAGAAGCGACGCGCACGATACGGACCACAGCGGTGAAAAGACGCGCACAATCGCGGCACGCTTCCGCACGTAACGCACGTAAATTCGACCCGAGGGATTCGCCGGTATTGCCTGATTTAATTTGTTGCAATTAGGGCAAGGGCCGCTTGAGCGCACATCGATGCGGGATAGAGGAGCGGAACGGAGGGCGAGAGAGAGAGAGAGAGAGAGAGAAAGAGGAAGAGTAGTCTCCACCCGGCTCACCGCGCCCTGCTATTAATATCAGTTAACGACCCGATATGATCACTCGTCTATACCCTAGACAGGCTGTACAGCCGGCTGCCAGCGGCTGGCCGTTCGAGCCGAGTCATGACTCGAATCATGTCGACGCGCGGATCATAGGTTCGACCGTGATTCGGGCCCATCGATCGCGAGCTGACTCACCGAGACACGCGGCTTCACCTCGCGATAATTCCGCGAATCTTCGTAATTACCCTATCACGGCTTTTAAATTAATCACGCTGACTTTTCTCGAAGGATCGGATTACTCGCAGAAATATCGGCCACGCGAACTACATTACGTTATGTAAGATAGAAAGAAATGAAGATTCGGAAATAATATATGCAATTCGAAATACAATCGAAAAAATTTTATTCTCTTTTATGATTTTTGTACGATTTAGATTTTTCGCTTAGATTTATCGCAGATATTGCAGTCACCGAGCGAGTCCGCTCGCGATACGCAAGAAAACGTCATAGCGCCGTTATGGCATACGTACCGATGGCAATGGGCGATACGGCGCCGGGCTCTATCTAGCAGACATCCGGCCAGCATCGAAACAAGCCGACCGCGCGCGGGATTACCATAAGCATTTATATATGCTCCGGCGCATTATACTTGCATACCCGGCACGGGGCGAAGGTGCCCCGTTGTTGTCGGCGTCGGCAGCGTCTCGTATTAGGCGCGGGCGGGCACGGGGATGCGTGTAGGTGCCCATCAGGCCTGGCTACTTACTTACGTGTACCAGCCGGCCCTCACGAGCCGCCGGCACGCGAGCCTGATTGACTTGTAGATGAGGCAACACAGTCGATATACTCCGGACTCCATGCCGTCCGGCCTCTGGAAACCGCGGCCCCTCCTGACCGCCGCCCACTGCCGTCACCGCTTACCCCCGTGATCCCGCAGTCCGTCAGCGAGGACTTCCACGGTCGGCCCATGGTTGCGTCGCGTTTCCCCATCGTCCGCTCTCCCGCGATTTTCCATCCTCTCGTCTCCGACACGTTCCTCTCGCTCGCCGTTCTCCGGCTCTATCAGGCTTTCTCTCTGTCTTTCCCTCCCCCTCTCTCTCTTTCTCGCTTACGCCCTTTTTATCCGCTCTCCTCGCCCTCTTTCCCAGCCGCCGACCGTTATCTAGTTAATTAATCTACGCCGACGGCGGTAGTCGACTAGCGGGGCGGTAAAACTCCCACCGTCGTTGCCGCTGTAACGAGCCGCGGCGACGAAAGTGTCGAGCGGCTGCGATCACCCCCCGCGCACTCCGTGCCGTTACCCCCTTCACGCTTGGAAATTTTAATTACGGCGAAAGAAAAACGGACAGGCCTCGTTAGAAGCCGGACAAGCGTAGAAAGTTAGCGAAATGTTCGAGGAAGCTCGGGGATTTGCACGGTGTAAGAGGTGCCTGCACGTACACTCAATAAAATAGATTTGGCGTTTTAACGAATTTATTAATTAGCTAAATAGATTTCCAAGTAGAATAATCGCACTAGATATTCGGATGTTTCAGTCGCATATTTTTTTACATAATCTATCTTCGAGTTTTCATGTGGAATAATTTGCAGTAATAAGATTATGAAAAATTGTAAATAAGAATTATTGTGTCCTGACTTCAAATAAACTTTGCAGAATTTACGTTTCAGCGTTAATTTCTGAGAAATATAGTATTGATATTGGTAGAGCAAAGATATCTTTGCATTGAAGTCGTTTTACAAATAAAATTACTTTTTAATTTGTCAAAAAATTTCTGTGATTTTAAAGTGATGTAAGCTTGAGATATTTTGTTTCTCACAAGACAAAAGTATTTAAATGCAATTATCGTTGCATCGCTGTTTTGGCAAATAAATATTTGTCGTGCATGTCTGAAAACAAAGTTATCATACCTGCGTCCTTTCCATGTTCTTCAGCTTTGCGGCGCTTCTTAGCATTCGTACCTGCAACTACGTCGCAAATGTTCCTTCCGTTGGTTAGGTTTCAACCCCGCATTTTACCCCACGTACATCAGTAACACTGTTGTCCTGGAAACATAGAACTGTAAGGGTTTAAGGGTAAAATCAGACCGACGGAGTGTAAACCTAGCTCTACATAACCTTACATAAGCAGTTACCCATGGCATTTGTTACCGAGAGATAAAAATTTATTGATTTCAGCACTGGTTGAACTGCCGATAGAATTTGGAACGTACGATGCAAATATTGTCTACAGATAGTAAAATGCTGATAAATCTGTGCGAGAAACTAACCTTCTAAAGGACATCACAGACAACATATTCCACTCGATTAGTCACATTGATTGTCAGTACTGCTTACTGTTGCGTTTCAAATCTAGTATCACTGATTGTCACTGAGCGGCGCTTAGTGCAAACAAGTGGCGCGCCTGCTGTAACAACTTCTGACAACTTCGTATGTTTTCCAGCAAAGGACACAAGTTGACACAAATCGACACAAGTATCACTCTGTCTTTGTTCGATATTCAATGAGCAACAGAGAGAATAATACTTTTGTGTCGCTTGTGTCTCTTGGTGAAAAACTACCTTCAATTCTCTGAAAACATATCGTTGCGAATATTTAATAATTTTGTAAGATACATTTAAAGAGTTGGAACACAAACAAATACTGTTTTTTCATCAAGCATATAATTATTTTTTAATTAGATGACTAAAAAGCCTTTCAGAAGTATATTAACTACGCGACACATCGTTCGAAGTCTGACTCAAGCAACGGCTTTTCCACTTTACGGTAAACTCTGCTAAAACCGATTTATTTACCTTGAAGAACGAAAATATTGATTGACAGGAGCTTGCCGCGACTTCGTCGACATTCGCACAGATGTCCCCGGACGTCGTCGCTGCGGCTGACGTTGCCGCCGTCGACGTCGACGCCGACGCTTAGGCGTCACGACGTGGACGGTGGCGGTGGCGCGCACACTGCGCCCCCTGATGCGGGGTGGGCAAAAGTATTGATTGGTCGCCGTGGCCGCCGTTGTCGTAGGCGCCGTGCAAAAGGGTGGCGAAATCGCCAGGCGCCATCACGCGGGCCCGCCGCGACCGTGTCGTCGAGGAGGGCGTCCAGCGAGCGTCCGATCGCGGTCTCGACTCGCCGAAAAGATGGTCATGATGGCTGGTATGGACGACCACGAGCGCAAAGTCGTCCTCGAGTTCTGTCACCTGCTCGAGAAAAGCAAGCAGCTGTTCAACGGGCTGCGCGAGCTGCCGCAATACGGGCACAAGCAGTGGCAGGGTTACTTCGGGCGGACCTTCGACGTCTACACGAAGCTCTGGAAGTTCCAGCAGCAGCACAGGTGAGCGATAAAGATAAACGAGGAGTTTGTTTGTGTATATGCGTGTGCGTACGCGTGCATATATGTGAGAAAGAGATAACTTAGCAGTGAGGTTTTTTTCTTTCTATTCCCATCCTGGAGCACACCCGATGACGGTTCTGTTCACCAGGTTATTTTAAGAGTTAATATTTCGAAAGAGCTCGCTAATAATGGATTATCGGTGCGAGAAGTGCTCTATCGAGCGTTCGTGGAGAATTGTAAAATAAACTCAACTCGATTTCGTGAAACGTGTACATTTGATCCGGAGATTTCTGTCAATTTCTCTGACCTCGACGTTCATTCATGATTTCTTTCGATCGGACTGGACAAGTAGCGAATATTTAATAGTGGTGGCGCTCGGCGAGGCATGCCGCAAAATTATGACCATCGTAGAAAATATCGTACGATGTCCTTCTTGATATTGCGATACATTTTAGCACGCGAACGTTCGCGAACCGCAGCGTGGCTTAATCGCGTTTCGCAGCTGTCAATCCGACAATCTGGTAATGATGATGAAATAAAGTGCGGTGAGGCCCACGTGACCGAGTCCTCGTGTGTCGCGCTCCAGATTTTGCATGTCTTTGCTAGTTGACTTTAGTCGTTAAAGTTGAAATTATTGAACAGAGATCTCATTTTGGGTTTTTATAGATTAATCGCTAGCTCGACGTTAGAATTCATCTTTCTCTTAAAAAATGTTAAAAATATTAATGAAAAAGATATGATTTGCATTTCTCATCTTTCTCATTATTTTATTATTAATTACATTATACATTTACACATCATTTACGTTAATGTGATCTTGATTTAGTAATAAAATAATATAAAATTTGTTTATCACATCTATGTTTCAATTATGTCACATTTTTAATTAAATGTATTTTTTAAATACTTGTTTCTCAAAAACAATTGACTATTTAAAATTTACAATTGCTATAAAATTGTTTTAATTAGTCGCATAAGACAAGCATGAGAAAAATTTATGTAAAAATCAATGTCCGAATTCGAAGATAATTCGACGATTAAATTAAAACAACACGCAGCGTGAAACATGCTCTCACATGTGCGGTCTCTCTTGTTTCAGAACGATATTGGACACGAAGTACGGCCTTAAGAGGTGGCAGATCGGCGAGATCGCCAGCAAGATCGGCCAGCTCTACTATCATTATTATCTGCGTACCAGCGAGACGAGCTACCTGCACGAGGCCTATTCGTTCTACGCGGCGATACGCGGTCGCGCCTATTACAGCCGCGCCGCTAAGGAGGACAGGAGCGATCTGATGGTGAAGAAGCTCAGGTATTACGCCCGCTTCATCGGCGTCTGCCTCCTACTGAACCGTATGAAGCTCGTGCGGGAGCTCGTGCAGGAGCTCGACGCCCAGATAGCCGATTACACCAGCACCTACGAGCCGGACGATCAGCTCGAGTGGAATCTCGTCCTCGACGAGATTAAGGCCTTCGTCAAGGCCGAGTCCGCGATCAATGTACTGCATTCCGACTCGAACCCCATCGTGCTGACCCACAGGCTCGGTGCGCAGACCTGCCCGCCCGTCGAACGATCGCCACCCATGTGCCTATCTCTCCAAGAGATCCTAATCGTCGGCAATTGCGCCGATCAGGTGAAGTTCAGTGAGTTGTCGATGGACATGTTCAGAATGGTGCAAACACTCGAGCGGGAGACCAGGGACGATCCGAACCACCTGCACGACGCCTCGCCGGCCGGCCGGATGCCCTTCAGACCCGGACCTTATCCCGGACCAGAGAACGGCGCGCCGAGACGCGACAATCCGCACAAGTACATGCTGTACAAACCGACTTACAGCCAGATACAACTTGTCCTCGCGAGTGGCTTCAAGGAGCTACCGGCCAATGGCGCGTTACTGCTGTACCTGTCGGCGGACGGTTGTTTCTCCACCATCAAACATCCCGAAGAAAGTGAGTGTTTAATCGAGTTTTATACCTGTTCGTTTTTTACCGCTACGTTGTCGCAAGTTTATAAACGTCAAACGCATCTTAATTTTGAATAGAAGGTTCGCTAGATAGTAAAAGTAAAATGCATTTTTCACAAATGACATTATTGATACATAAATCATCTCTGTATGTTATCTGAAAAAAAAATCAGAGTTGTATAGAAGTTAAATGCTTCGCAAACAATTCGCTTGAAAGTGGTTTTTATTCGCTTCGCCTTCAGCCGGCGATCATTCACGAGTTAATTAATAGCACGCCACAAATATCACGCGGGAAAGCGATATTTTTATAGGAATAAATGACGGTATACAACAGCAATTTCTCAAGCAAATAAAATTAAATGAATTAAATGAATTAAATTAAACAATGAGAAATTCTCAGACAGCAGCGTTTATATTTTACATTACTTGCATTACGTTATTTTCATATTAACATAGTAATAAAAATTTCTTATTAATATACAGCTATTAATAAATTTAAACGCAACGCAAGGTGTTCTGAACTTTTACTCGTTTAATTATTTTACTCGTCAAGGTTATAAAAAAAGAATTAAACGGAGCGACTTTTATGAGATTCGGAACATTTAAAATACGCGGACAAAATTTTGATTAAAGCGTAAACGCAAAAATCAGATAAACGAAAAATTGCGAACAATACGTGGGATTAACTTCGATCGCGGCGCGAAATTGTTCTCTTGATTTTTTTTTGGTACATTTACGTACCGATGCGAAAATCTCCCATCGACATCGGTCAATTGTAAGCTGCAACTAATAGGTCGTTCGTATCTGAAGTTTGGTATCACGCGAAACCATTTGGATTGGCCATTGCGACATTATTCGCCGTATCGCGCTTGAATGCTATCAACTCGAAGTATCGAGTCCCGCATTTCACGCCCTGCAATCTCGTGTCCACCGAGTCCGCTCCTAACTCTGATCGGCGCCGGCACAAACGGCGCTCGTCCAAAAGTGACCACTGATACAGAGCGGCCCGTGGTACAGTCATGCGGAGCTAAAGCGAATCACCCGCTCGGCGAAGCCGAAGACGTACGCGTGTCGGTCTTTTCGGTCAGTTTCCCTGGTCGGTAATCCGGTACTTCGGCCGGCCGATATCTCATCGTGGAAGTGGCTTGCTGGGTTTCCCGTGTGCTCTCAATCGGAACGGCCGCGACACGATAATCCGCGCGATGTCATAGCCGACCCGAAACCACGTGCTCCGTACACGTGTACGCCAGTGCCTACTCCCGGAACGCCTTTCTGTATCGAATGAACCGTACAGTGTGCCCCAGATCGACCGAAAAATGCTCCAGAGATAGATTCCTTCTAATAAATTTAGATTCAGTTTTCATAAATTTATTAAAAAAAACCTGCTTTGAACAATTTTTTTAATTTTATGGTTGTTATTTTAAGCAAATAAAATAATCTTTGGAACAAGATTTATTTAGAGATGCTTCATCGTAGAGAGTACATATTTCGTTCATTGCGATGATGCTAATAATAATAACACATTCATTATGCTTTTACGCGTGGGAACATTCATTTGCGTATATTTCTCTCATTTATAGATTTTTAGTAACGATATATAATAAGCATGCAATGCGTAGATTTTTACAAATTGCATTACAAAACCTTGCTAGAAATTTTTGCAAACTTAATTATAGTGTGTTTGAGTGATACATATAGATATCTAATTGATTAAAAAGTGCAAAAGTTCTGTAGATAATTTATTAGCATTCTAGCTGAACGAATGCTTATTGCGATGCTTTAATGCGGTAAATCTACCGCAAGAATTTTTTGCTTTTGCCCCAAATTTTTAGTTTGTCTTTTTAATTACTATGTTTATAACTGTACGATTTTGTGAAATATTTATGCTGCACATTATTTATGACACTGACAAAAACATTTATCAAAAGGCAAACTTACGAACTATTTATCCGCATGTTACGTGCAACTTTGATTAGTTGCGATTTAAACCAAGGCTACACGTTGCTGTTGCAACGGGAGAAAATAGAGCAGCGTTCCAGTATCAAGGCTGCCTCGTAATAAAGATTCGTACGGTTCGTTCGCGGTGAATCTAGCTTTGCAATCAATATCAATGTATTAGAAGCCACGACTCAATCGATTACAATAATTGGCAACATAAATAATGTGGAACAAATTCCTTGACTTTTGTTTATTGATGGAGCTGCTTCGGAAAATATATATAAAAGTCTTAGAACGTTAGCTGAAGCTTGGAAATAAATATTTGTTTCAACGAGTTATGGCAATATTGGGGAAAGACACGTCTCATAAATTACTGTACATATCAAGCGTATTTAAAACTTTTAATATGTATCAATAATGAGATTATTTATAGTTTTACGTATTTGTTATAATCGAATCTTGCATCATTAATGAAAATCGATGCATTAAATACAAATAGATAATAAAGTAAAGAAACTTTTCATCAATTTATTCTAAAATTTTAATTTACGCTTCCGTTATCAAAATATTGAGATATTGAAAATTTTGCAAGTTTTAAACAAAGAGATGACTGAATAAACTTTCGGCGGGGAAAGATTATTTAAAGTACAATTCTTTGAAGGAATATGTGTTCGAAGTTCTTGATGCGAATCTCGAAATACTTTGTCGTATAAACACGATCGAGAGTATCAAAGTTTCCTCAACGTTGCCTGACATCCATTCGACGGATCGGCGAACGCAGAATTGCACGATGTTGATAAAATCTTGCGATCTTGCAGTGGGGTACGACCTGGGCGGCGTGTCCACGTGCAACAAAAGGGATCCGGAGCACGGGAAGAGGCCGGCCGGCTGCAAGGACCCGCACTGCGTCTATCCGGGCGACCTCTACCCGTTCACCAGAAAGCCGCTCTTCGTCGTCGTCGACTCGGACAACAGCTTCGTGTTCCAGCAGATACCGCGCTACTTCGGCCAGCCTCTGATGGTGCTGATGTCGCCGCAGGACGTGCCGCCGACCCTGCGCGACCTGCGACACGGTGGCGGCCTGTTCACCCTCTTTCTTCACGCCCCCCTAGCCGCCTTCTGCCTTATATGCAACGTCAGGAGTCTGCCTGTGCAACATTGGGAGCGCTGCCAGCGTTACATCGAGCGATTCCTTAACGAGGCCAGTCAGCTCGTAACGCGTTCCCGATGCGGTAAGGATACTCGACGCCCGACCATTGTCCAAGGCTTCGATCAAACGAGGAACGGACGTGGTGGAGGATAAATTCTAGGTGATCTTGAACCGTCTTTCAATAACTTTTCCGCTGATCGGTAAAAAATCGGCATTATTCAGGAAATCGAAAAGATATGCGTTCATATTTTATTTTGAGAGCAATTTACATTTCATGATATCGGCGGATATTCAACGGTCAAATACTCTAATTATCGAATTTGAATATCAGAATATCTTAAGTGAAGGCTCTCGGAATATCAGCGCTAATCCAGCGCAGCAATTGTAGGTAAAACGATGTGCATAGAATTGGATTTGCTAGTTGCTTGACCAATATATGGCGTGATATTTGATAGTTAGAACGCGGCATTAAGGAAAGAGCGAGAGCAAAATTAAGATTTTATCGTCAAAACGAGGGCGTGCTCGTTAAGCGCCAGGTTCATTGAATGCGACTTACGGTCGTGTTACAACAATAAACACGTTTGACCTAAATCCAAACAAACTTATCGGCGAATTTGCGCTTCCAATTTCTGCGTGTCTCTTTAACGCTTGAGTTAAGGATAGTTATTGATACTTGTTGTCTTCGCCGAGATGCATCGATGTTATATCCGTAAACTATCCATTATTCCGAACAATCGCGCTCTTTGTTTCAAATATCCGTCAGCCACAAGTTCTCGAACAAATTCAATTGATCGGTACTAGAAATGAAAAGATTTTGGAGAATCAAACTTGAAAGCGTCGTGCAATCTTAAGCTGCTGATAAATAATTCTTAACTCTTCCAAACTCAGCATTGCTCCAAGAAAATCTAGTTGAAAATTGAATTTAGGAAATTAAAAAAAATCAAGTGCGGATAGTTTTTTCATTGAAAATTTTCACCAATACAGAATTGAAAGAAAAATAAGCGCGTGTACTTGAACGGCGCAAACTAAAAAAAGAGTTGACATTCAAAGAGTATCCTCCTCCATCGAGTCGGACCGTTCCTCCTATCGATTCGACATCACGTAACTTCATCTATGACCTTACAACCCGCAGAGACCAGCGTGCTGCAGTTCTTCGGCGACGATTTTCTGCGGCTGCTGCTGGTGCGCTACGTGTTCTGCGACGTGGTGCTGAATCTGCATCGCTCGTTCAGAACCCGTCAGCAGAGGCCGCGATGCCATCCGCCTCTGCCGGACGCGGAGGTCCTTGAACATCCCACCCTTCATCACCTGGTGCTCGATCTGGCCGCTTGCTTGGACGCCCGCGACCACTTCCCGGACAGTAACGAGCTCGCCTGACCCCGGCATTTACCCTGCCCGGGCCCGGACACGACCCTGTTACCATCTCACAACCACGATTATGATTACGACTACTGTAATTACAACTGCAACAATAAAATCGTTACACTGAGACCTCACTAAACCGCGTCTTCGCAGTAATCGCGTGAAAATTCGAGAGATTGCGGGCCGCGGGTGTGACTCAGTTCTGGGATTCAATGCGTGGAAGAGCTCCGTTCCTCGAAGACTCGAAACACGATGCGACCGGTGGTACGTGATACGGCGGCACCGAATCGCTCTACCGATTTCGCATAATCACGCTGTAAAAAAAATCAGTGAATTTTCACAACTAAGATGTAAAAATTACACGATGAATAACAGAGATTTGCTAAATTTCATAAATTTTATACTATTCACTTAGTATATTTCTGTTATTTATTATGTAACTTTCACACCTTAGTTGCGTAATAAATTTACCGAATTTTTTTATAGTGGACGGACGACGGGACACTCGCCTACATCGTCCGACTGCACTGAGATCGCGCCGCTCTGCGACACCGAGGATCAAATTGACGATCAAGCGAGTGCACTACTCTACACCGAACGCTTCGGACTGAGTAATGTAAAGATAAAACTACTGCTTTTGGTTCTTCAAGAGTTATACACTTGATGAAAAATGCGTTTGAATGCTTGAACTGTAACATAGGTATATATGGAGTGGCAATATAATTTTCGTACGAATAACACATTTCCCCCGACATTTGCATTCTCTCTGTCTCGTACTCGCACCGTGAAAGCGCCAATCGGCACCACCGTCTTCGCGCCGCTTCGCGCGCGATTCAAGGTAGAGAATCGCATCGTCGTCTCCGACCGTCGCTGCTCGTCTTGGTCGTTTTGCGATCGGCCGAGCGTCACCCACGCGCGTGCCACGCGGCAACGTCTCATCTCCTTCGCTCGTTTATTTATAAGCAAAAAGTAGAGCGCGGTCTACGAGCGAGGAGTTTGACGTTAGCCGCACGGATGACGACTCGGCGGAATGAGCGTGCGACCATGCGAGTCGGAAGATTATCGAAGAAATTACCGCGCGCTCAACTTGTACATGCGATCTACCCCTGGACGACGCCACAATATCGGACCTTAGCGGCCGAACGAACGTCGGGTGAACATCGTTATAGAACTCCTAGCGTAACACACATACACAGTGTATTATATATTTATACATGCTATATATTCTATATATTTTATAAAGCATTGCAAAGTATCGGAGCGTTTCAGACCTACCGGACCATCTTTCAGTCATGGAATCGTTGATGGATTTCGTGCGGAATTTTCTTTTTTTCTTTGCGAGAGAACTTAGTCGTGCAGCACACCGTCCGCCCTTTAGTTTAATAGATTAAATAGATATTTTGACGATATTAAACTGAATGAAGAGTTTATTGAAGTAAACTTTATTTAAAATCAGCTGACGAATAATTCTCTTTGTTATTTATAATCATCAAAACTTGATTCACCGAAACCTTTTCATTTCTCTTATTATTTACATCTCAAAAGCTACATTTTCTATTAATATATTTTTTTCTTTTTGAGCTTAATGTTAATAGCGCTGAAAGCGACGTGGTACGTCTGGAATACCCTGTGTAATATATGCTACAGAAGAATATGCTCGACAAAAGAATATTATATATAACGTTTATACGATTTATACAGAGTATCCCATAATGAATGGACCGAGAAGAAAGCGACTTTATACGCGAGAATTAATCGGAAATTTATTTTAAGAAATTCAAAAGAGTTTGAAAATTCACCTCTCAATTAAACGATTCATTTTAATTCAATTTTGCCAAATTATCTCCTCGGTCTTGCCACTCATTGTGAAACACTCTGTACATAAACAGGGTGTCTCAGAATTATCATTACCTTTGTCTCGTCATTTCTTAATTAATTTGAACTTGATCGTTCTTTACATTGATTGAAATAAGGACGACTTATTCGGTCAAAATTATATTTAAAAAAAAAAAGACTAATTCTCTCTCTCTCTCTCTCTTGACTGATTTCTCAGTAAATGAAAGATGTTCCGGTAATCTTGAGACACTCGGTACAGATGTATATACCGCGGAACATCGAGTTATGAATATGCATAATTATGAACACTGATGCAGCTTTCGAAAAGAATGCGGCGCAGCTGCGCGGCCTTTCTCTAGGAATTATTTTTACATTGACCAAGGCGCATTGACAAAGTCGACAAGCGTTTAGGTATCATCACCAGCATTGTATCGCGGTGCTGGCATCGAGTGCCAAGATGTGACACAATCGCCGAATCCCATGTTGCCGCGCATGACGCTTGGCTGCCTTTATATCTTTCTTCGTACTATGCTAGAGAAAATGCGCGTCACATGCAGCAAGATTGTTCGAGAGGAAAAAATTTCACCTTTCAAACCAAGCTAATGTAATTCTTTCCGTTTTCTCTCCCATTTTAAGCCAACACACTTTCCCATTTCGAGAACCGTCCAAGATGCACGCTCAATTTTCGTTTTGATTTTACCGAAGACGCTTCTGTTTTTTATTTTAGCTCCAAGGAAGCTCCGACAAAGTTCTAAGGAAGCTCCGAGGAGGAACTCTTCAGCGGATAATTAACAAGTAGAAATAGAAGCATTCTGCCAAGAGAACCAAAAAGTGTTCCTGTACGAATTATGCTCTCCTTCAACAGTATTCTGCACCGTGTTTAGCGCAAAACAATTCGACGTTTTTTTTTTTTGTCACGAATAAATGCGGCTCGCGCATAACAGCGGCAGGAAATGACAACTTTAGAGGTAATTAAAATAACGAAAGACCGGATCGCACGAAAGTGTTGCCGCCACAGTGACGAGCAGCCTTCTTCGATAATTGAGACAACCGATAAGTGGCGCTAACGCAATACAGAATACCGCAGCTGTACCCTAATTCCGCGCTGTGTTAGCGGCACTTGTCAGTGTCGTTTATCGCTGACAGAAATTCTGCTCATTGACGACGGCAGCGAGCTGAAGAAATATTCCCGAGTTCATATTTCACACTCGCGTTGACTTCGCCTTTTTCTTTCTTTTTCATTTTTCAATTTTTCAACCCGAAGGTAGCGGCAAAGGTCATTAACACACAGTATACAGAATACTATCAGGCTTTTGGTGCTCGGCCAAAAACTCGCGTCGACCCCGACTTCCTCCACGCTGCCAAACTGTACCAAATAAAGAAGAAGAGGAGAAGCACGGCCCGTGAGCTCGACGAACTACCAGGTAAAATTTGCCCGCAGTTCGCGCGGACCGCGACGACGACCGCACGCGATGCACCAGGTGATCCGGTGGTGCAGGCAGCCCGAGACAGTGTCGAATACCGGAGACTGCTATAAATAATCCGATGTCCGCTCCGGTCGCGTACGCGACGGACCACCGAGGGTACAGAAGAGAGTCGCCTAGGAGCCGCTGCAGCGGGCTGCTCTAGAGCGACCGCTCAGCCTCCTTCTCTCCACTCTGTCTCTCCTTCTCTCTTTCTTTCTATCTCTCTCTCTCTCTCTC